CCAGCTGGCTGTATCCAGCCCACAGATGTATTTTGTTTGTCCCACAGTGCTGGCCCACACAAGGCTTTTAAGAAATTTTAATCGGGTTTGCCAAAGTTAAAAACCAAGAGATTTCACATCAAAGCCTGGATTTCCAATTTCTCCTACCAAGTGGAGGATGTGGTTAACATTTGCACACAGAAAAGGGTAGCTGGAACAGAGCAGTGGCTGAGACCTGCAGATGGAGAAGTGCCCCCGGTTTCTCCCCTCGTCTATTTCACTGGGTTTCCGAGTTGGTGACCCTTGGTTTAAAGTCAGGCAGATGTAGACTGCAAAGCCAATCATTATTAGACTTTTCCCAAAAACATCCCCAATAGGAGACTCTTCAGCCAATATTAGGACAGCTGTGATCAAAGGTAAAGCAGAGGAGACCAAAATGATTTGAGAAATTTAAAAAAAAAAAAAAACAGGAGTTGGGTCCATTTGGATTTCTGCTCTAAGATACTCATTTGGGGGGGGCGGGGAATACATTCACCTTTATTACTTCATTTATTCTCCCCAACAATCCTGCAAGGAAGGAATTATTCCCAGATAAACAAACTGAAAATGAGTGATATTAAGTCAGTTATCTACCCAAAATTATTCAACCAGTAAGTTGTAAAACCAGATTTTGAACCCAGTTTTGTCCAGCTACAAACACTATGCTTTAGGAATACTGAAAGAACCCTTTATAAAGCCACGAGGCTTGTTTCTGCCTCAGGGCCTTTGCATCTGCCATTCCCGCTATTGGAAACCACCCTACCCAGATCTCTACATGGCAGACTCTTATTCTTTCACTTCATTTACTTCACCCTCACAGGGAAGTTTCCCTAGTCATTTGATTTAAAATAACCTAGGCGTGCACACACACACGCACACACTAATTTCTCTCTAGACCCCTGCTACTCAAAGTGAGGTCCAGAGATCAGCAGCATCTGCAGCACCTAGAAGTTAGAAATGCAGACTCTCAGGGCCTTCCGCAGACCTGCTGAATCAGAACCCTACATGTTCACAACATCCCAGGTGACGCGTGCACGTTTAAAGCTTAAAGAGCACTGCTCTACTAGGAGCCCTGCCCAGTGAAAATATAATGTGAGTCACCAGCATGATGGTACATTTTCTAGTAGCCACACAAAAAAGGTAACAAGAAAGACTGTTTCCTGTCTCCCCTGCCCACCACTTCAATGTCAGTTTCAGGAGCACAAAGTGCTTAGTCACCACTTTATCCCCTGTCCTTACAACAGTTCTGGGTACATGGTAAGATATTATTAAAATGTTGGTTAAATGTAAGAAGGAAGGAAGGAAAACATCTTGCTAGTATTTTGTGTGTGGTGGTGGGATACAAAGGAAGAAACCAAGAAACCAGTACTGTGAAACTGGATAGATGCGGTCAGCTCAACCACTGACCAGCTGAGCAACCCTGAGCAAGTCATTTGCACTCCAAGGGCCACCTGTAAAACACGAAGGCTGCTATGTCATCCACAACCCTCATTATGACACTCAAACATGAGAGGACGTCCACGAAGTGCCCGGCTCCATAAAGAACAAGCATTCCCTAACTGCCAGTATCCTTCTGGCGTCCTCCCTCATTCTCCAGATACCCAGCACAAACAGTGCTGCAGACCACCTTCCTGGGGGTAGCACAAGCATGACTATGGGAACGGTCTTCCTGAGTGATTTTCCCCTAGCCAATGGGAGGAGCATATTCACTGTTGGCAGTGCAGACCATCTGAAACCATGGAGGTTCCCTTCCCATCTCCCCGGGCCTGAGGTGTTTCCAAAGCCAAAGTCAGGGTTGCTGCACAGTCTGTAAGCCATGGGGGAGGTCACACCGCAAGGCAGCCCTGTCACTTGGATGAGTTCTGCCGCGGCTGCCAGGTCCCACCCCTTAGAAGAGTATAAGGTCTCTGCCCAGAGGGCTTGGAGCAGCCCGTTCTGGAAGGTGCCTTGGGGCTTAGCCCTTTTATTTTACTGGTTTGGAGGGGTGAGGAGAAGAGGGTCAAGTCTACCCCCCCACACACACTTAGGAGTCATGGGCCTGGGTCAATCCAGCACGGGAGGCTTGCTTCTCCCATAGTTTTAACACTCCCATCCTAATCCATTAGTCTATCTTGCCCTGAAATCTGAGGCACGCGTTCCAATCTCAAATGTGTTTTTAAATCACATTAGATCAACAGCACAAGAGAAAGCAAAACCCGGATTTAGACAAGGCTGGAGTGACATGGAGGGAAAAAAACTCCCAGGGCTGCTCCGCTGGGACAGGATGAAAGCCCAAACCAATGCTGCCGGGAGCTGCCCCCAAATTCTCACTTCTCCCTCTGGCTGATAACAGCAGACCCCAGAAACACTTGCAGAATTAGGCTCTCGCAGAAGCACCTCGACAAGAAAAAGGGAAAGAAAACAAGTGGGGGAGAGAATCAAAACCTTTCATTCATCTGTGGCCTTCTCCTCTGGCGAGTGGAAGATTTTGCATTGACTACTCCGCGGATGGGGAGGAAGCGTGGCCATTCAAGCACAGATGCCGCCATTTATAAGATGCAGTTGGAGCAGGGAAATAAGAGGAAGGCTTTCCTTTACTGGTTTGAACTGATGCCACCGTTTCCTTTTCTACAATATAATGAAGATGTCATCCCCTCTTCCTCCAGGGGAGAGACAGGAGCCTGAAGAGACAGAGCCCGTGAAAATCCCACAAATACCCTCAAAGCACTGCTGTCCCTCGTAAGGCTGGAGAGGTATCCAAGCAGCCTCAGCACACTCCCATGGGCCAAAGGGGTTTCTAGAAGTCTTCTCAGCAGCCAGGCTTGGGTGGCTACTGATACTCTCTGTGTTACATAGATTCTTCTCCAGCACTTGCAGTCGGCACCTATAAGCACTACAAGGATCTGCCGTGGGTGAGACACTGGGGTCAAGGATGGGGAGGCCACAGAGAAATCCCATGGTCCTGTTAAGTGAGGATCAAGGGAATCTGCCCACATGTCTTCAGTATAACAGTTCTGTGGATGGGTACCAAATATTCACACTCAGCCCCAAAGACCACATGAGGGACGGCCGGAGTACCACAGTGCTAGGATAGAACCTTCCACAGCCCTGTCATGCCTGTCTCCATGCCTCCTCTTCCCAGCCCTCGGCATGAAAGAAGATTAAGAAAATCTGGCATCTCCTGTCCTCTCATTCAGAAAATTCTCCAGCCCCACCAATGGGACCTCCTGACACGCATTCCACCACGAACCCTTCATCAAACTTTAAGGCATCTGAATAAAACAGTCCCTTCTCTATTTCCAGCTGCTACAAAGCAACCCGAACACATGTTGGAAAGATGTGATCTTTATGCCTCGCTCTCCCCCAGAAGGGTACTTGGCACTTCTCCTGAGATACACAGCTTTAAAATTAGAATTGAAAAAGCCACTGTTACCCTCGTAGGGCCAAGGCTACCTCACAGCAGAAACCAGAACATCCCCATAATCAACAGTTAAACAACTGAAACCCTCCCAAGATATCATACCCCTTCTCTATATTGCTGTTGTTGCATTAATCATCCTAACACCTTTTTAATTATAATCGCAAACTGGAAGCCATGGCTCGTGATGTTATAAATACTGATTTTTCCAGTTAAATTAGGCATTTGCTGTTTTATGTTTTGATAGGAAGGGGTTGTTTGAAGCCTCCTAAAATATTGCAATTAGATTTCGCTGTTGAAACAGACAAGACATTAACAGACACATTTGCTATTTCAGTTTAATGTGGTGGAATGTACTTCTCTCAAGCTTTGAAAGCGTAGGGCATATTTTTTAAAGTGGAAGAAATCAATCACAATACACCCATTTATTATCTATTTCTTAAGTTAAGCTATTTCTAAAACTTTTTCCCAGGCTGTAATTTAAACTTAGAAAGCACATCTCTTCAACACGAAGGGAACTTGTCAGGAAACAATCCTCGTATTTTACCTATTGGCTCTGTTAAGATGATAACATCACTTTAGCTGACAAAGCCTGTGTTTCTGTTTGACAACTGCAATTAATTACTGAGATGCAACAGAGATGGGGCCAGCCATCCAGATCTATTTTCCAGAGAGATCTAAAACGGAAGGAAGGGAGGGGAGCAAAGGAGGTTTGTTTTTGGAATCTGCACCAGTATGGAGTTAAATGCTATGGCTGGCAAGAAAGCTGGATTATTAATTTATTTTACCTGCACCTAACTTTCTACTCCTCTTCTCCCTTTCTCTCACCACGGGCAGAGGGTGGAAAAGGAGAGAGGTGAACATTTCACAAGCCAGAAGCTCCAATCTGTTGCGAAGGAGGCGCGGGTTAGAAAGGGCACGGGTGCAGTGCACAGAAACTCTTAGGGCACCAACTGTCATGTAGACACTGATGCTGCCGAGGCAGAACCAACCCAGGGTTCATTCCGCCAAGGGGGATATAAAGTTCTGGAGATGGGGGGCATCCCCGGTCTTTACTAGAAAGCCAGAACTTGCCAGCATCATCTTTTTAACTGTTGCCTGTTCATTTTGCTCTAACCTGAGAATACTAAAGTTGGATTCCAGCCACGCAAATGCGTTTCAGGGCGATTTGGAGAAATTCCAGGGGATCTCAAAGCCCCTAGAGCCATCTAGCTACCCTGCTTCGTTCCTTGGCGTCCCCAACGCAGAAGCCCAGAGCCCCGCCAGAGCCCGCGGGCACGAAGGCTGGGGATTCCCAGGCTAGGAGCTGGGCAGATTCAGAAGGAATCTCCCCGGATGAGAAACCGGAGGCAGACAGAAGTAAGGCGACACCTCCACCCCTCGTCCTGAAATAAAGTGACCCTTGGCCAGAGTCCAGCCCTCTCCGCCGCTCCCCCTGAGCGGCCCCGCCAGGGTTGGCAGAGCCCCCATTGGGGCTTAAGGGCTCTCGGGACGGCGGCGCCTGGGTGTCCAAGGGCCCGGAAAGCGGCGGCTCGCGCCGGGTCTCCGGTGCGTCCATCCCATCCCGCCGAGCCCAGGGTCCTACCTGTACCACTCCAGCCCCTTTTCGTAGTTCCTGTCGAAGAAGTGCGGCTCAACGCCCACCGCCCGCACGTCCGGGTGGACTCGGATCGCCTCCAGCAGCGCGCGGGTCCCTCCTTTCTTGACCCCAATGATAAGCGCCTGTGGCAGCTTCTTCTCCCCATAGTCCGGGGTGCTCGCGGCGCCGCCCCTCTCGCTGCTCCCGTTGGCCGCTCTCCGGCCTGCGAGCTCCTCGTCGGTGGTGCTGGACTCCTGCGCTTCCCTCTCCAGCAGCGCGCTCTGCGCCGTGATCATCTCGCCGGGGGCCAGCGGGGTCCGGAGCCAGGCGTCCCGGGCGCCCCCGCCGCCGCTCGCCAGCCC